AATTTGTACCTTTACATGATATATCTTTGTTCTTATTTTTCCTCATTCCCCTGCCCTCCCTTCCAATGTTTTAAGCCCTCCCTATTTGCTTTTTTTTTGGTTACCAGGGATCGAACTCGGGACCTTGCATTTGCGAGGTAGGCAGCAGGACCACTGAGCTAAATCCCTGGCCCTTCACCCCTCCCTATTTACCAAGACTTTGTTTCCATTTTTTCCTTTTCTCATTTTTTCCCTTTCCCTTCTTTCTCCCATCTTTAAATTGGCATTTTTGTCTTTTATTTGTGGAGTTAAAAAAAGGTTTTTTTGGCCTGGCATGGTGGCGCACGCCTGTAATCCCAGCACTCGGGAGGCTGAGGCAGGAGGATTGCTGTGAGTTCGAGACCAACCTGGGCTACACAGTGAGTTCTAGGACAGTCTGAACTACATAGTGAGACCCTGTCTCAAAAAACCAAAAAAAAAAACGTTTTTTTTGTTTGTTTATTTGGATATTAGCCCTTTACTAGATGGATCTCCTGGTCTGTGGGCTTTTTTTTTTTTTTTGACAGGGTCTCACAGTGTAGCCCAGGACTCATAGTGATCCTTTTCCTCAGCCTCCTGAGTACTAGGATCACAGATGTGCCAACCATGCTTGCCCAAATGATTTAATCTAAGCTGAGCATGGTGGCACATGCCTGTAATTTCAGCACTTGGGAGGCTGAGATAGCTGTATCACTGTGAGTTCAAAGCCACCTTGAACTATTTAACAAGAACCTATCTTTAAAATGTTCCTAAAAGTTTTTTTTTTGTTTTTTTTTTTTTGGTAACGGGGATTGAACTTGGGTCCTTGCTCTTGCAAGGCAGGTCACCGAACTGCTGAGCTAAATCCCTGGCCCCCTAAAAGTTTTAATTTTTATGAAATCTGATTTGCCTTTTTTCTTTTGCTACTTGTGCTTTTGGTGTCATTCAAGAAATCATTGCCCAACCCAAACTTGTGAAGATTTAAGCCTATGTTTTCTTGTTAGAGTCTTACCATCTTAGTTGTATTTCAATCCTGAATTAGCTTTTGAGTTAATTTTCTTTATATTGTGTGAAGTAGGAGACACACACACACACATACACACACACCTTTTTGGGGGGGGGTATTTATTTATTTATTTTTTGGTCCTGGGAATTGAACTCAGGACCTTGTGCTTGAAGGCAGGTGTGGCGCTAAATCCCTGGCCCACTGTTCTTTCTTTAAAAAACAGATTGTTTTTGGCAGGGTCCCTTTCATTTTCATAAGTGTTTGGGATCAGTAATGTCATTTTCTGCAAAAACACCAGTTAGGATTTTTTTTTGTACTGGGGATCGAACTTGGGTCCTTGTGCTTTCAAAGCAGGCTTCGGAACCACTGAGCTAAATCCCCAGCCCCCAGTTAGGATTTTGACAGAGACAATATTGTATCTGTAGATCACTTTAAGGAGTGTGGTCATTTTGTCTTCTACTCTATAAATGTAAGATATCATTTCATTAGTTAATCTAAGTAAACCCCAGTATTTCTGAGAGGAAGGACTGAGGAAGTTCCTCCCATGAGTTTTCTGAAAGGTAGTACCTGCTAGATGGAAAGATTCAGTAAATACTGATGGAGTGAGCCTTTGAGTGAATGAATAATATTTCCTTTAAGGGAAATGCTTTTGAGTTGCTTGTGCAGAAAAGGTGTTTGGATACTAAGTAAGGTCTGGAATGCTAAGGAATGCACAGATGGTCCAGGTTTTTAAAACTTTTTATAATGCACTGAGGATGTGGATTCTGAGATCTACAGGTGGACTTTGGAGTTGGGGCCTTGGTTTGTAAGTGATGTCTGTGGATGCTCTCGTTCTCTTTGCTAGGGCAGAGGAGAGAATTCAGAATTGGTATCAAACTGGTAGCACAGAAGACGTTAGATCAGAAGCTTCATGGCAAAATGAGATTGCTTTGACTAAGTCTGTTTGGTCTCTGTGTCAGCTTGTCTGAAGTCCCCCATCACACGCTTCCTCCTAGCTGGTCTTCGTCCTGGAAGGTCCTGGTTGGACTTGTTAACAGAGAGCCTCCTTTGTCTGTCACCTGTTTTTCCTTCAGTGCTGTTCTTTAGGGTCCTGGGTTTTAGTGTTAATTAGTTTCCTCCTGACAAGAAAGCTGCTGCTGATAACAGCAAAAACTTCTCTAGCTTGATTTGGCTGCAGGGTAGAGAGGGCAAGAATTGGGGTCTGTAGAAAAAGGGTTTCTTTCTAGGCATGGTCTGACATTTGCTCTGTTGTTTTCTAGGATGTCTCAGCTGCCAGTGAGCTCCGGTTCAGAACTGTTCTTTTGGATGAGGGAAGATGAGCACTCATGGCCTCGCTAGCCCTTGTACCTGACATTCCTTTGGGCTCTTGGGGTTCCTTCAGGTTTCCACACAAGAAGCTGGGCTCCCAGGGCCTGCACTTGAGTCTCTCCCCTTTGAGCTCAGGAGCTGGGTGCAGCGGCATCTTGCGTCTTGCAGAACCCTCTGGTTCTGTCCTCGGAGAGGATTTATGTGCTGCCCTCTCAGCACCAACTTGAGACCCTCAACAGCTGCCCCCAGAATGCTGCTGGTCTCTGGCTTTGAGGGAGTTGGTAACAGACAGGTGTTGTTCTAGAGGGGGAAGCAGAAGGCGCTATGGGCTGGGGGAGGGAGCAATGTCCCAGATTCTGCTTCTCTGGAGTAGTCGTGTTTTCTGCACCTCTCATCATACTGCAGGCCTCGGGTCTGCCACCCTAGTTCACGTGCACATCTGTGCAGTTCACAGCAAGGCTTTGAAGCCTGCACCTCTGCTGCTGGCTCTGATTGTGAGGGAGAAAGGTGACCTCTAGTTTCCTCATCTGGAAAATGGTGGCATAAGGCATCCAACAGGGTTATCATTGGGAAGTTGAGATGACATCATGTGACATGGTGACCACAGTGCCTCATCTAGTGAGTGCTTAGATTACGCTCACTGCTTCTTACTGCCATTGTCCTCGTCACCCTTGCTGCTGCTTCTTGGCATTGTTTGTTGCTCTTGGGCAGCTGCTAAGTTTGCAGGTCCACTGTCCCTTGGGCATTGTTCTCAAACCCCCACTTCTCTGGGAATTGTCTGTTTTGTCCTCATTTGGCACCAGACCTGACTTGATGTGATTATGGTTAGTATGTAGGCTGACGTGTTGCCCTGTAAGTGTGAGCATGGTGGAACCATTCACAAGTGTGACTGGGGCAGCTGGAACGACAGTGGGAGGAGACCTGGGTGATCCTCTGCTGCTTAAAGGAGGAGTGACTTTTGTGGCGTTGGCTCTTTCCCCAAGAAGGTGGTGGCTGGTTGCTTGTGGGTACCCTGCAGTTTGAAACCCTGCTCTCCCTTGTCCCTTCCTCAGGACAGGCCACTGGCTCCAGAGCTAAGGCAAGGCATGGCAGACAGATTCCTGGCCAGGGAAGGGGGAAGTCAGGACAGATGGGCAAGAAGAGCTGCAGCAGCAAGTTGGGGTTTGGAGCAAGCTGAGTGGGGTGAAGATCAGAGCAGCTGTGCTTCCTGAGGTGAGCACTTGGGCCCACAGAGGCCTGCCAGGTTCCTGGAGTACTTTGGGCTGCTGCAAAGGAGATACTAAAGGACCTGCCTGCGTGTCAGTGGCACGCACTGCACAAGACTGGCAGCTCCCTGCAGGTGCCGCTCACTGTGGAAGGATTGGTGGCTGTGAGGCTGTGTTCCTGGAGAAAGGTGGGCTGCTTTTCTTCAGATGCAGTTGGATGTTCTGGGATGTCAGGGGGACTGCTTTTGTGGAAGGGGGTCTCTATGGAGGGTCCTCTTCACTGGTGGGATGCTCAAAGGCAGCTGTCCAGGGATGTAAGCCAACAGAAGGGTGGGTCATCCTGCCCACATGTGACAGGCAGCAAGAGGTAAAAGGATGGCAGCATGCTGGAGGGTGATCAGTTGGCTGAAAAAGGGCCAGAGCATCCGGTGATATTTAAAGGGTTTATGGCATGAGCAGTGCATCACTCTGACGGGGACTGACCTGCTCTTCTCCTAACCTCTGGAGCTGGGTACAATGGCATCTTGCATCCCAGGTTTGCAAGAGGCTCTGGGCTGGTGGCCAGGTTGTAGGGACTGGAGGCAGGAGCTATGGCCATCTCACTTGATGTTCAGCGTTTCGTGCCTCCTTGTATTGACCTCTGCTTGCTGTGCTTTCTTTAGGTCATAGAGAGAGGAACCCTTGGAGACTGGGGTTCTCCCAGGGCTCCTGGGTACTGGGCTGTGGGGTGAGAGACCAGTGGTGTCCTCCCTCCTGTGTCCTGCCTCAGAGGGAGACCAGTTGCAGGCACCTAGACCGGCCTGAGGCGGAGCCTGAGCCCATGGGGGTGGGGTGGGCACAGAGGGCTTCCAGAAGGCAGTGTGTGAACCAGTCCTGTGTGTGCCTGGCTTAGCCCCTGCCATGGGGAGGCTGCGGTGGTGGAGAGGTCAGCTGTGTGACCCTCTCCTACCTTGGCCTGGCTGCATTGGGCCTGTCCTACGGTAGGAGACAGAAAGGTCTTGAGCCAAGGCCTCCTGCTGGCAGAGGCCAGGTGTGCTCCCTGTGGTCCTGTCTAACGGGTTTAAGATAGCCGCCTTTATCCTCAGTCCTGGAGCAGAAGTGTGAATCAGGCGGCAGCCACAGGGATAAGCTAGTTCGTGGAGGATCCTTCCCTGCCTCCTCATTGGGAGTCGCTAGAGATCCTTAGTTTCTTGGTGTGTGGACAGGGTTCCCCTGTGTCCAACTCTGTCTTCACTGTGGTCCTCTCGGGGTGTCTGCCTGTGTCCTGACAGCCCCTGTGCAGAAGGACCTGGGTTGCTGAGTAGGGTTCATCTGAGGGGCCTCCCCTGCCTAACCACCTTAGAGCCCATCCCGTACACATTTCAGTAGTACCAGGGCTTAGGGCTTCATCTCCTTCCGGGGCAACAGCTGAGTCTGGAACACTCTGTTTGGGGGTCCTGGAACCCCTGTAGCCTTGCATCTCACTGCTGTCCTGTTCTCCGCAGAACCGGGCAGTGGGTCGGCCCAAGGGCAAGCTGGGCCCGGCCTCCGCAGTGAAATTGGCTGCCAACCGAACGACGGCAGGAGCTCGCCGGCGCCGGACGAGATGCCGCAAGTGCGAGGCGTGCCTGAGGACAGAGTGTGGAGAGTGCCACTTCTGCAAGGACATGAAGAAGTTCGGGGGCCCCGGACGGATGAAGCAGAGCTGCATCATGCGGCAGTGCATCGCGGTGAGTGCACCTGTGCAGCCGCAGCTGTGCTTGTGTGGGTGGGGTCAGGCCCATTCTCTCTCATCCTCTGCTTTCCTGCCACGCGTCCTAGTCTGGTGGTCTCTCAGCCCCTCCCTTCTTGTTAGGGCCAAGTACTTTGAAGTTCCCTCGTTAAAGATGTCCGGGCAGCCTGCCCTGTCTTTGACTCCATAACCAATATTTACAGCCCATTCCATGAGGATTCTGGGCCCTTTCCCTCTGGTCTGCCTTCCTCAGGGTCAGAGGTCTGGGTGAAAAGTCAGTGACCTCCTCAGGAGACCACCCCAGTCAGAGAGGGGTGGTAATGGGTCCAAGGAGCTGTTGTAGCCACTAGTGCTGGGAAGCTTGGCACAGTTGACCCTGATTCCTTCCTCCACACACGTTGCTGTTCCCGGGGTCCAGTGGCTGTCCTCGAGATTGGGCATCCTGGTCACCCTGGGAAGGCTGGCTTAGCGGGGGGACAGTATTCCTGGGCACTGGTGAGCTCCACAGGCCCAGCCTGGCATAGGGAGAGCCTTTTCTCTCTGATGATGCTGATGCCTTCTAGCCTGGCCACACCTTCCCCCTCTCCCTGCACACTCGCCCTGCTTGTCTTTTATTAACTTGTGATTTAAAAAAAAAAAAAAAAAAAAAAAAAAAACTACTATAAAATTTACTGTCTTAATCATTTTCAGTTGTGTAGTACAGTAGTGTTAATTATATATGCACATGGTTGTGCAGCTGATTGCTAAAACTTTCATCTTGCAAAACCAAAACTCTGGCTGGGTGTAGTGGCACACACCTGCAGTCCCAGTACTTGAGAGGCTGAGGCAGGAGGATCACTGAGTTTAAGGTCAGCCTGGGCTACACAGTGAGTTCAGGACCAGCCTGAACTACATAGTGAGACCTTCTCTCAAAAACAAACCAAAACTCTGCACCCATTGAACAACTCCTCCCCCTTCCCTTCTGTCTAGCTCCTAGAAACCACCAATCCATTTTCAGTTTCCAAGAGTCAATGCAGCACCTCATGTAAGTGGAATTATGCTCGTTTGTTTTTGTGATTGTCTTAATATCCTCCAGCTTTATCTGTGTTGGAACTTGTGACAGATTTTCTTTTTTGGCACTGAGGATTGAACCCAGGCCCTTTGCACTGAGTTACATCCCCTACCCCTTTTCTTTTATTTTGAGACAGGGTCTCACTAAGTTGCTTAGACTAGGCTTGAACTTTTTCCATCCTCCTGCTTCAGCCTCTCGTGGTGCTTGAGATTACAGGCAGGTGCCAGTATGTAAGATGACAGCTTCTTTTTAAAGGCTGAATAATATTCCGTTGTACAACTACATCTTTTTTTGCCTGTTTTGTTGATGAACATTTGCATTGCTTCTCCATCTTGTTATCCTGAATAATGCATTGAACATGGATGTACAAGTCTCTTTGGGATCCTGATTTCCCTTTTCTGGGATGTGGAGTTGCTGAATCATGTGTAATTCGGTTTTTCATTTCTTGAGGAATTCTGTACTGTTTTTTCTCAGCCACTGTACCATTTTGCATTCCTGTGAGCAGTACACAAGGGTTCTCATTTCCCTAAATCCTTGCCAACATCTGTTATTTTCTGAACTTTTGTTTATTTTTATTTTTAAAATTTAATTTTTGTTTTGTTTTGTTTTGAGACAGGGTCTCACTAGTGCAGCCTGACATTGAACTCACTATGTAACCCAGCTGTGTGCTCCCCAATTATATGTGTCTACTGCCACACCCTGCTAAATTTAATTTCTTTCGTTCTCTCTTTTTTTTTGGTACCAGGGATCAAACTCAACTCAGGATCTTGCGCTTGCGAGGCAGGCGGCAGCACCACTGAGCTAAATCCCCAGTCCTAAATTTAGTTTCCTTTTTTAAGACAGGTCTCATTATGTAGCTTAGGCTGATCTTGGAACTCACTGTGTATCCCATGCTGGGTTTGCACTCATGATCTTCCTGCCTCAGCCTCCCGAGTGCTAAAACTACAGGCATGTGTCACCACACTTAGCTTTTTTTTTTGAGTCAGGGTCTAGATCTGTAGTTTTTGCTGCCCGTGAACTCACACTATACCCCAGGGTGGCATCAGATTTGCAGTGACCCTCCTGCCTCAGTCTTCCAGGTGGTAGGGTTACAGATGTGTGCCATTGAAACCCAGCTGTTAGTTTCTAATAGTGGTCATCCTGGAGTGCATTAAGTACCATCTTACTATGATTTGTTTGAGTTTTTTGGTACCAGGGATCAAACTCGGTACCTTGGGCTTGCAAGGCAGGTGGCAGCACCACTGAGCTAAATCCCCGGCCCTTGAGCACTTTCTTATGTACTTGGTAATTTGTATGTCTTCTTTGGAGAAATATCTGTTTCGTCTCCTTTGCTCTTTTCTTTTTTTTGGTACCAGGGATCAAATTCTGGACCTTGCACTTGAGAGGCAGGTGACGGCAACACTGAGCTAAATCCCCAGCCCTTCTTTGCTCGTTTTTAATTGGGTATTTTTGGTGTTATGTTGCTGCAAGGTTGAAGGAGTTCTTCATACATTCTGGATATTAACCACCAAGATCAAGTATTACCTGTCATGGATGCATGGTTCTGGAAAAGAGGGTCTGTGTGAGCTTTTGAATTTGAACAGGATTTTTTTTTTTTTTTTTTTTTTTTTTTTTTTTTTATTGTACTGGAAATTGAACTCAGGGCCCTGTGCTTACCAGGCAGGCACTACACAGCTGAGCTATATCCCCAGCCCTTTGAACAGGATTTTAAGGAGCTTGTCTGGAGACTGTTGGTTTGGACAAGTCTCACCTAAGACTTAACTGCCTTGTTGGCAGTAAACCCACAGCTATCTTTTTTGTCTTCTCCTCTGGTGCCCAGGGCCCAGTTACAGGAAACCTTTGTGATTGATCACCTTATCTTTGGTGCCTGCTGCTGTGCCTGGCACATGGGCCATGTTGGTAGGAGTAAACTTGTCTCCTGCTACCTCTAATCCCACAGACTTCTTGAGCCAGCCAGTCCTTCTGATTCTTTTTCCAGCCCTCTGTATTTTCTCCTTTGGCTCTGTCTCCCTTGGCTTCTTCCCCTGGCTTCCCTCCCCTCCCGGATCTCTGCAATAACTTTGCCCCTGGTTCCCCTCTTGCTGCTGCCCATCTCAGAGTTTGTGTCCTGAGCCCAGACCCTCCTCTTGCTGCCAGGGCTGTTTCTACACACATCTAGCTCCAGGCTGCCTGCCACACCCCCACGCTGAGTTTGTCCTGTGTGGACCTCTCTGGCCTTGTCCACTTGGAGATCTTTCCTTCCGCCTTTCTTGTCCTCCTAGTCCTCCAGAGATTGGCTTTGCTGCTCCAGATTACACTTGAACACGAACACAACTTTTTCACATTTTCTTGGATTTCAGCAAGTCGTATCTTTGTCTTCTCAAGTAGTTTGAGGAAAACAGCTGTCTCCTCACTTCCACACCCCTCTCAATAAATACCTTGTTCTGTGAGTTAGCAGATGATGTTAGGTGTTTGTGGAATGATAAATGGCTGTCTTACCTTCAGTGTTCTGTGTGGGTTCAAATGTTTGTGCTGTATTGTGGACTTTTCCACTGCAGCCGAGCGTATCCTGGCTTGTTTGAAGCAGTTTACTAAAACCTGTGCCTATGTGTCCATGTATTCTGTACTGATTCGGGCCAGGAGGCCAGGTGAGCAGGGGGGCGTAGGCCCACCTGGCCTCTGTCCTTGGGGGTCCAGCATCAGAGTTGGTGGTCTTGGAGCCCTTTATGGCCTTAAAATCATAAAGACCCCAAAGTGCCCTTGTTTATGTAGTTTATTATTATATGTGCTGCCAAAGGGGGCACAATTTGTTTACTTATTAATATCTACTGTACTCAAGGCTGGGTGTAGTGGTGCAGCCTGTAGTCCCAGCATTCAGAAGGCTGAGGCCAGGAGGATTGCCATGAGAAAAAGGCCAGCCTGGATTACATAATGAGACCCTGTCTCAAAAAAAAAAAAGGGAGTGGGGGAACTTAGCTCAGTGGCACTGCACCTGCTTCATAATCACAGGTCCCAAGTTCTCTCCCTGGTACCGCAAAGAAAAAAACACCCTGCTATATTCAAAGTGAATTTTTAAAAAATACTTTAAATTCATTTTGAGAATAAAAAAAACCTTACATATTTTTAAATGAATATAAAACATTTTTATAAGAACCAACTGCATCATCCAAAACAAAAATAGGAAAAATGACAGTTTTTCATGTCTTTGTGAAACTCTTGTGTCTAGTTCATTAGAAAAGGATCTGGATTTCCACATCTGCTTCTGTACTCCAGTCTGTGGTATTAGGTTGTTTTGGGAGGAGGAAGAGGAGAACCCAGATTCCACAGATAGATAGTGGGCAGGGGGAAGTATGTGAGTAGTCTGTGCAGGAGCAAAATCTGGAACTCAACAGGTGGCAGCTTTTTTTTTTCCTGTACCTGGGATCAAACTTGGGTCCTTGTGCTTGGGAGGCAGGCTCAGCACCACTGAGCTAAATCCCTGGCCTAAGATCCTATTTTTTTAATCACTAACCAATCAGAAAAGCTTTGGAAAGCCTTCTATTTTATAGTGGCTTATGTCAATTTTCCAAACTTCTCATATTCCTTTGGATACTTGAATTTTGTCATTTGTACCAGATACTATTAGTGTGAGTTATGAGTATGACTTTTTCTGGAAATGACAGGCTCGCTTCTCCGATCTTCAAAAAAAAAAAAAAAAATGCCAACTTGGTTTCCTCAGTTCTTTCACATAACACTGGCAAGGCTGTGTAGAGAAGGTGGTCTGCTGAGCTCACGTCTCCTTCACAAGTGCTTTTCCTCTGGTGGTGAATGGTCCTGCAGCGTGCAGAAGTGCTGGGCACACACTTCCTATGTGGAAGGATGTGTGCTCAAGTGTCGAGGTTTTCCTAGAATTAATAATCCAAGACATTCTTTAGTGAACTGGGGGACTTCTCAGTGTGTGTGTGTGTGTGTCCTGAGCAGCCAGTGACGGCTAGGACAGCTGGCTGTTGCCTGGTGCTAAGGAGCCTGTGGTTTTGGCCTCCAGTGCTTGTGTGCCATGAGCAAGCAGAACGTGGCTACCTCTTGATCTGGAAACAGCCGTTCTGGAGGAGGCCTGATCCCTTCTGGTGGGATGATCCCCAGCCCTCCATGGGTCTGGGCCGGGCTCCCACCCCATCTCTTTCAGTTCTTTTCCAAGTGGAGACCTTGCCTGACTCCAGTTTTAACTCGGGCCCCCATCTACCCTCCCTGCCCTGTTACTCCCTCCTGTCTGCTTCCCTCCACTAGAAGACAGGCTCAGGGTAGAAGAGATTTTAACCTAGGTCTCATGGACTACTTGGCCTATAGAGGTCACAGACTGGTAAGCGTGTGCACGAATGGCCAGATATGCTGGGCTCCACTTGTGATGTCTCCTGGCAGGCCCAGGAGAGCAGCTTAGTGTCGCCGACCTGGTCCTCCAGGCGTCTGTCTTCCCTGCTGCTGACTTGTGTGTCTCCTGGCTCCTCAGCCAGTGCTGCCCCACACCGCTGTGTGCCTTGTGTGTGGCGAGGCGGGGAAGGAGGACACAGTGGAAGAGGAAGAAGGCAAGTTCAACTTGATGCTCATGGAGTGCTCCATCTGCAATGAGATCATCCACCCTGGCTGCCTTAAGGTGAGCGGCCTGGGACCTCAGCTTGCTGTGCTCAGCCCCGGCCTCTGGTGGTACTGATGTGGTCTAGGTCCCCGCCCCCCTGCAGACTGCTGGAGGTAAGGAAGGGGTGGCACAGCTTGCTGAATTCTCCAAGAACCGAGTCTGGGGATTCTGTATCATATGATGGGCCCAGAGCAGCAAGAGTCTGGAGTGGTGGCCCTGAGAGAATGAACTCGCTACCACCATCACCTTTCTGTACCTCAAGCCTTTAAAAGGGTCCCGGTGTCTCAGGAGGTGGAGAACACAGGCTGGGTGCCAGAGCAGAGCCTGCCTCCAGGCTTCTGGGAGAAGAGGGCCTAGGCCAAGGAGGGCGGGTCCTGAGTGACAAGTGGTTGCTTTCCTGTGCTTCTGCACCAGGAACCGGTTCCTTTGGTGTGCCGGGGCAGGGCTGCCTTGTGGGTGACCTCTGTACCTGCCCGACTTTGACAGTAGGTTCTGCCTTGGAAAGAGACCACTATGGGCTAGCACATCCTCCTGCTCTGAGAATGTGGAGGGAGGGTAGGTGGGCCAGGAAGGTTCGTAGGCTCCAGCTTCCTCTCACCGGGGTGTGGGGGGGTGTCAGCCTCACTCCCCTGCCCAGCTGTCCACAGACAGGCACTACCCTCGGAAGGGCTGCTGTGATTCCGTGGCTTTGGGAGTCACCCCTTCCCATTGAATAGGCTGCTTATTTCTCCTCCCCACAGCTCATGTGAATGATGTAATGCATGTTGGGTCCTTTTTGTGTGCCCGGCCCGGAGCAGATTGCTTTGCTGGATTCCCTCACTGAATCCTCCCAGGCCGATGCAGCTCCAGCTGATGGGTCAGGGCATTGGCCCGCGGCTTAGGGATGGCCGAGCCAGAAGGTCCAGCGTTTCAGCTCTGAGTTAGGCATCTAGACGGCCCTATGCAGCTGTTTTCTTTTGGCTGGAAATGGGATGGACGTGGCTTAGGGGACCCCATCCCCTCTAGGCCCAGCCTGGCACCCCTCCCTACCTGCTGAGTCGAGCCTATCCTTTTAGATTAAGGAGTCAGAGGGTGTGGTCAACGACGAGCTTCCAAACTGCTGGGAGTGTCCGAAGTGCAACCACGCTGGCAAGACTGGGAAAGTGAGTGCAGGCTCCAGTTCCCGGGGCGCAGGTGGGCGGGGGTGCGGAAGTGGGCCTTGTCAGGACCAGCCTGGCAGGTGGTCAGGCAGGGGGCGCGGCGGCTGGCCAAGTCCAAAGGTATACAGTCGGGTTGTTCCTTCTCCCTTCTTGGCCTACAAGCAAAAGCGTGGCCCTGGCTTTAAGTATGCCTCCAACCTGCCCGGCTCCCTGCTCAAGGAGCAGAAGATGAACCGGGACAACAAGGAAGGGCAGGAGCCGGCCAAGCGGAGGAGTGAGTGTGAGGAGGCGCCCAGGCGCAGGTCGGATGAGCACCCCAAGAAGGTGCCGGTGGACAGCATCCTGCGCCGAAAGTCGGATGATGTGCACCTGAGAAGGAAGCGGAAATACGAGAAGCCCCAGGAGCTGAGTGCACGCAAGCGAGTACGGTGGGAAGGAGGCCGGGAGGTGGGCGGGCGGCCTGGCTGGATGGGTGGGG